ACAAGACAAAGAGGCGGCCAAGTGGTGCTGCTTTTAATATCTCAGAGTCGGCGGCAGGGATCCAATTATTTTCAGTTTGGATACATTTCCCCTTTATCAATATCTCCATGTGCATAAATAAGATGAAAGTGGTGTTGTAGAATCAAAAGGAGACGGCACTCCCTGCGCCAGGCGGACTGCTTCCGTCTGGAAGTGCGCGGCCGGCTCTCTCTCCCACGCGGGTTTCGGAGGTGGCCCTTACCAAGGCGATGTCTTTTTATAGGTTAGAGACCAGAAGGGAGTTTAGGCAGGGAGGTGAACTTACAAATAATATTTTAAAAACAAAAAAAAAAAAAGGAAAAAAGGATGCTAAAAAAGGGAAAAGAATGTATACTAAATCAGCCAACTTGTAGTGGCATCAAAGGTGATGGGTGATTTGAGAGCTTCTCTCCAGAGCTTTCAGGGAAATGGAGACACAGCTCTGCACTTCCAGCTTGCTTTGACACCCCACCCCCCTCCCCGCACAGCAGGGTCCCAGGCACCGAGTAAATAGGCTACCTGTGTGGAAATGCAGGCAGCAAGGTCCTTGCAGAATCTCCCTGGCCAGATGCCTTGATGCAAAAGACAAAGATGGAGCAAGGAGCCCAGGCAGCCAAGCAGAGGGCGCTTCTGCCGGGAGGGCTCTGCTAGGGCTTGGGAGGAGACGATTTTCACAAAGGTCAACACACAGGGCTCCTGTGTGGAAGGGAGGTGATAACAAAGAACAACTCGGGGTCATGGTGCAGCTGAGCAACTCCTGGTGGCTTTGCCTGGGCCCCTATTTCCATGAACACAGAGGAAACCTGAGGTCCTGATACAAAAAGGCACCTGACATGTGTGGCCGGATGACCACTGCTCTCCATCCCATTCCTTCGCTCCTGAAGTGCTCACCTGGCTGTTGCAGTGCCTCCGAGTTTATTATTCTCACATGTGGAGCGGTCACCCAGGAGCTCTGAGGCTTCTCTCTGCAGGCGACTATTACCCGTGTCCTCAGACCAGAAGCCAGGGCCCTGCCCGCCTGCCTGGGGCCTCCAGGTCCCATTCTGCAGCATACTCCATCAGGGTCCAACACAGAAACTCTCCTTACCCCTAAAACCCAGTTAATTCTGCCCACTCTGACTACCTCTACACCACTCAACCATTCCCCTTTACAATCAATATTTTAAGTGTGTGCTTAAACGGTATCAATAGCAATTAGAGAGGGGAATTCTGATTCCACCCCAGATGTAGTTAATTGTTGTCTCATTGATCTCCCCTCTAACGTGATTCTTTCTCCAAATTAAACCCCCATTACAGAGGGGAATGAAGGACATCCTCTCCCCTCCTGCGACAATAAATTTAATATCGAATGTGCTGGAAAAAAACTGTCAGCTGCTGCAGAATCCGTCCAAAAAGATTTTTTTCTTCCCCTTTCCTGGGAGTAATTAAAAGATGCTTTCCTTGACTAATGATTCCCCTGTTTGGGAAGGCGAAGTCAATAGTGCTTCAGCCGCCGTCAGCTTCGATTGATCACGATGCTGCTCAAGTTTGAACGGCAGTTCTCAGAGCAGCTGAGAATCCCTGGAACCAATTATGAGCTCTCCTCAGCTGCCCTAATGGGGGCGTGGGGACAACAGGCAGAAGGCCAGCCAGCTGTGCAGGGCGCCTGTCTCCTCAGCTGCCCGCAAGCCTGGGTGACACCAATGAGCGGTTGTTTTGGGACAGGCTGCTTCTTCGGAGAACGATCTGCTATTTCCTCTTCCCCCTGGTCCTTCAATCCCTGTGTGTGTGTGTGTGTGTGTGTGTGCACTTGGCTTTTCCTTGGATAGACATAAACACTTAGGAAAAGCTTTCTTCAGGTATCACCTTTGAGCCACTTTAAAAGATCCCTGGTCTGCTTATGCTGTCTCTGGTTCTACAGAAGGAGCCCACCAGAGCGGGCAGCTCGGTGGGGCAAGCCCCAGACTAGTTCTTGGCTCTCATGCAAGGGTGGGATGCCCTGTGGGGATGGTGGCCCCTGCTGTAGGAAGTGGTAAAAGTGGCAGGTGTTTGCATTGGTCCTGAACTGCTGGACTGTGCTGTTTGTTGTTGGGGACAGTGTTTCTAAGGTTTCCTCTATGCTCCCCTTCAACCACTATCTTAGTTACTGTTCTCTTGTTGCTGAGACAAAAATACCCCAACACACAAGGTCAAAGGGAGAAGGGTTTGTTTAGCTCACAGTTTGTGGAGATTTCAGTCCATAATGGACTGGCTCCAGGGCAGGGTGGCACATTGGCTGAGGGACAATAATTCACGGCAGTGGAAGACAGCAAAAGCAATGAGATAGAGAGAGAGATAGGAGAGGACTCTTTTTGTCTCTTGCATTGTATGCATGCTACTCAGCCTAGGGTGGGTGTAGCACTCATGGTTTAATCCCATCGTTGGACCATGAATCAAACACAAACTCTACATTCAGCCACCTCTGAAAATCCTGACCCTCGGACTACATGAGGCTTGGGGGGGATATTCAGACACAAACCATAACAACCACAGTGGCCTGTAGTCTCATCTCTGAACCTTCCATCCACCCAGCTGGCTGAATGACATCCTCTTGGGAACAAGCAGAATACACTGAACACTAAACAGATCAAACCATTCCCCACATCCCAACAGTGTGTGTGTGTGGTGTTTCTCAGCCTCCCAGGTCTTCTCAAGCCTTCGCTTGGTTTAGACCTTACCACCAGCAAGTCCAGCCCTTTGCGGAGGGATGGGCCAATGTGCACCTGGTTCACACGCTGGGTCTATTCAGTGTGTTTCTACCTTTGCTCAGACCACTCCAACCTCCCAGGCCTACCTCCCCTCTCGAGCCCTGCCCCTGGAAGTCACTCTACAGTTTAGAGACCAGCTCAGCTGCTCTTTCTCCAAGGAAATCTCCCAAAATATGCTGGCTATAAGAATCCCTCCCCTCTGTGAATTCTACCAAGCTTGGGCATCCTCAGTGGACCCTAGGGTCTCATAGCACAGTAGACTTTTCACTTATTGTTTCTCTTTTGCGAGGAAGTGCTCAATGAATATTTGCTAAATCTAATCAAAAGCAACATTCCCTGACAGAATTATTCAAGGTCCAAAGAAACATTCAATTCTCATGCCTGCTTGTTTCGTTGGAGGTGGACAGAATTTAAGAATTTAAAATTTACCTTTGGAAAACACCATGTTAGGGGGACTGCAGCTGAGTGCTGTTCGTTAGGGAAACCAGTATGATTACAAAAGGACTGGGCTCAACAGCAGACACCCCACTGCAATACAGGAAGACTCCAAAACATCTCTAAATTGTAAAGATATGATGTACATAGTACTAGATGGAACCAAAAGTCACAAACTCGAGCTTAAATATGCAAATTAAAACTATAAAATACCGGGGGCTGGGGATTTAGCTCAGCGGCATAAGCGCCTGCCTTGCAAGCAGGCAGTCATGAGTTCGATCCCTGGTACCGATAAAAATGAAAAAGACAAAACAAAACAAAACAAAAACAAAAACAAAAAAAAACTGTAAAATACCTGTAGAGTGTTCACTTATGAGTGAAGATGAAATCAACATATAAGTTTAAAAATTAACCCACGCATTTGTTTCTAATCATTCTCACTGTTTTCCTTCTTCCTGTACTGGGGACTGAACCCAAGGTCTTGGGCATGCCAGGCCAAAGCTCTACTACTGAGCTATATGCACTACTGCCAACAGTTTCTAATTTTAGTGGGTAGAAAAAACCTTTAGATATTAAAAAAATAGTGTATGTGTTCCTTTTGAACCTAAACCTGAGGTTCATAGTTAGTTTTTCAAATGTTTCTTCCTTCACTGAAAACATTTCAATGTTTTCTTCCTTCATGTACTAACTTCACTCTAGTTTCCAATCATCTCGCATTGAAATTCTCTCCATGGTACTCTACCTATGGAAAAAAAGTTGATATTGTATGATTTGGTATTTTCAAGAATTCTCCAGCTGATGACCCAGCTGATTTCTATGTTAATGTTCAAATCAGGGTAAGAGCTTTTTCCTTTGGTTTATAAGAAAGATACATCTACACTGTAGAGTGTAACTCATAATGAGTGAGGAATTTTTAGCAAATACATCTCTGTCCTTCCCAGGGGCTCCAGCAGGAGAAGCAGCCTGGGAACAGCCAGCTGTGTTCTTCCCACCAGCCAGAGGCGGCGCCACACACCCATTCCTTCTGCAGCCTTAGGCTGGTCAGCCAAGGTCCAGCTCTTGCCCAGCGATTATTGCTTAGCGGCAGAACCTGATCCCGAACCCTGTGGCTCACCCATGGGTTGATTACCATTTGGACTTTCTGTCTGAACACCAGCAAAACTAATCAAAGAAACCCTCTGTGACCATGATGGGAGTCATCTCCATCAGCTGGTCAGAAGTCTGAGAAGAGGCCACTGGACAAAACTCTTAGGGTCCTCCTTGGTATGTGGGACATATAACACACGGCTCCTGGCCCTGGGGCCACTGCTTTAGACCCAGAAGGAGACCGTTTCCTTCATGGGGAGGACCCAGCCTTTTCCAACCTGTACGGCCTCATCACCACCTTGAAGTGTGAAATACCCATGCATGCTCTCGAAACTGGTTTCTAATAGCTGCAAATGTAAAATGAGAAACTAGACGGCCTTGAAAATAAACAGAGCATTTTTTGTTTTTTCACTGGATAACAACATTAACGAGGAGTCTCAATGAGTTAGAAACACATTTTCAAAAATAAAAAACATTTTCTTTCCATAGGGGAGGGCACTGATGGTTACCACAGCTACAATAATACAAGAAACAACCAAAAACACAATTAGTGTTCTAATGACAATTAGAAATGTATTGATTAGAGTAATATATTCGTAAGTTTAGAAGCTTCATTGATTACTAAGAGGGAAAAGAGAGATCCCCAAGGCTTAAAACAAACAGAAACAATTAAAAAGTCTGAATCATCCAGGCGGCCAGAAGCCCACGCCAACAGGGCTGTCCCTGGGGTCCTACCTTGTGGAGTCCAGGGAGGGCTTCGTCCGGCCCTGGCTGCTCTCCTCCCAGACGCTGTTGGCCAGCTCGTTCCCGATGGACGACATCACCTTGATCAGCTCCAGGGGCCAGTCGTCCAGGTCGAGGGAGCGTACCCGAGACAGGTGGGTGCCCAGGTTCCGGTGGATCCCCGAGCACTCGATGCACATGAGGGCTCCCAAGTTCAGGCTGGCCCAGTTGGGGTCTAGGGGGAAGAGGATGAGGGGTCACACACAGATAACTGGCTGGACTTCAATGGGGCCACCCCTCCCCACAGATGTGTGACTGCACGTGCTCCCTGGCCTGCTAAAAACTCCCTGCAGCTTGAGGTCTCTAGAAAGACTGGGCATGTAGGTGTTGACTTCAGAGAACCTGGTTACACCAAGGCCTCAAGGGTTCCCATCACATAAACAACGGTGCATGCTGGGTGCCTAGACAGATGTTCTCTCTACAGCCCACAGCAGCCTTCACACGATGCTCAGGGTCCACTCCTGGGAGAGGCCACAAGGAAGGGAGCTGGGACCAGTGTCACGACCCTCAAAGCGTCTTCTGCTACCTAGGGTATCCCTTGGGCCGGTGATGGGAGTGGGTGCAAATTTCTGAGATGAATGCAAAGGTGATAAAATGTGACATCAGGGATTGCATTGAAGGGGCCCCTGGCTGTAGACCATGGCGTGGTTCTGGCCAGCTCTGTCCCAGGGGTTTGTCATGCAAAGGGGGAATGTTCTACACTGCAATACTGCCCCAAGGACAAGGACCCAGTGTAGAGGCAGAGATGAGGCAGTGTTTGGACCTGGCTGACATCCTCAGGAGGCCAGGAATTAGGGCCTAGGGCTCACCTGGTGCTAAAGTCAATCTACAGTGGATGTCCAAAGACGGGGCAGACTCTGGTGGTAGATGGCTTTCGCCACTGACAGAAGGAAACACAGCTTAGCTCATCTGGGGGCAGTCACCACTTACTCCCAGTACCCTACCCAAGATGATGGCAAACTAGGTAGCTGGTGTTGACTACATATGAGTCCTACCTGGGTCTGCTCTGTGCAAGGCTCTTTGGCTGTATGGACCTCAGCTCCATCCGCTGAGAGGGGAGAAGGACACTTCCCATCCCCAGGGGTTGTCACAAGGACTAACAGCTATGAGTGCTCAGCAGTGACTGTCACATGGGAAGCATGGTGCTACCAGGTGTTGGCTGTGATGAGTTTGTTCCTTCTCATATTCAAGGCATGCTCATGTGGCTGCTTCTAGGGACAGAGCGGTGAGCAGGAAGAAGCAAATCCTCGACAGCACAGGATGGGGGTTCTGTGGAGCTGAACTGGGTGGACTGGCCCAGGGCTCCATAGGCGGGGGACAGAAGACAGCAGCAAGACAGACCCGCTGTCCTCCTTCCCAGGCCTGCCCATTCAGGGCCTCTCAGGAATGGCTTCTCCCTTCCTTGTGTCTGGAGCGACCTGGGCCTGGTGCTTCCTTTTGTCCTGTGGAGATGACCATGACCCATCCCAGATGGTCTCCAACTCGCTGTACTCTTGCCCAGGCTATTGGAAATGGACAGCTGGGTTGGTCTGTCTAGTTCAGTTTAGGACCACCTCTCCCTGCACTGACCCTCGACTATACTCTGCTGACAGTGAGGAACAAAGGCTTACAAACCTCACCTGACACCCCAACCCGTCTTGAACCCCTGTCCAGGTTGCTGGCTGTTCTTTTCCCAAATGCACCCAGGGACCCTAGGCTCTGCAGTCATCCCCAGCTATACAAGCTCTTCCTGTCCTTAGGGCCCTGCCCAAATGCCAGCTCCTGCAGGAAGCCTGCAGTGAGGGACCCTACTGTTCCTTCTCCACAGAGCCAGCCGTGTGCTCCTGGCCTTGTCCCTCGGCTCCAGGATGGCCTTGCCCACCCAGGCCAAGCAGCACCTCGCCTAGCGATGGGACCTTGTTTCTGCAGGCTTTCCCTCCCCTCGAAAAGCTAAGCACTCAGAATGAACAGAGCTTACTGAATGTGCCTTCTCGGGATTGGGATTTAAAGAAAGAAAAGTCAGTTTCTACCCTCAATTAGACAGACATTCCTTATTTAACGACCCACCTGGCTAATGACTGTCTGGACCTGAGTTCCCCTTGGCCTGTTCTTTGCTCTGACCATTGTGATGTGCACACTGTGTACAGTACAGCCCTCCACTCAGTGAACACTCCAGCTAACAAGCTGGTCACGGGAACTGAACTCGGAATGTCTGTATAAACACCTAAGGGATGCTCTCAACGGGAACGTTATTTTAGGACAACCGAAAGGACATCAGATTACTCTAATGCATGAAGCAGTGATTACAATTCTATGGGCTCCCTCAAATGCTTTGGGGTATAAAAAATTTAAACTAAAAAAATCACTTGGTGGCAACACTCAGAACATATCGCTGTGACATTAACGACAACAGCAACCAAAACACAGAACTCTGTGGGCAGGAAGGAGCCACCGGCGCTCCACTTAAGGAAATCAGGCAAGTGCCCCCAATCAAGCACAGGTCACCTGCGCTTCCCAGATAAGACACAGGATGTGGGCCCGGGCTCTGATATACAGCATAAGCGGGATGTGCAGCGCTTGAGTGTCAAACGCACAACTGTGTCAGCGAGGTTGGTTGAGGGCATTATGTTAAAGTAAAACCCAAACAAAAACATATACACTCCCCAACCCCTCTCCTCCACACACGGCAGATTTGGGTCCATGCAGCGTCCTACACTTACTCTGGGTGTCACAGTCCACGCAGTGGGAGTTCCCGCGGATGTTCCGGATGGACTGCAGAGCCATGGCCTCACTCTGGCTGGTCAGCCGGGACTGGGAACAGAGGAAGGAGACAAGGAAAGGTGTGAGCAGCCTGGGAGGATTGGACGCCTCTTCTGATCACCTCGAGGAGTAAGGGGAGACCATGGTGGGTGAGGCTGGGAGAAGGGGCAAGCTTCAAGTAGCTGCTACTCTTTGGGCACAGTGAGGGAAGGATACAGCTGAGAAGGAAATGCTACACACCAGGATGTATCAGGAGCAGAGAGGAAAGTTCCTGATCGTGTGACCATGGCCACCTGGAGCAGGTGATTGATTAATATGCAGATTAAAGAATGAGGAAACAAATCTATTCATAAGCCAATCTATTCATCAGCTCCACAGATTCAGCCCCACAGTTCTCCAGAAAGTCCCTGGGCCACTGCCATAAGCCGGGAGATCCACTGTCCATTTGAGGATGTCTTGGGGTGACAATAAACCAAGCCGAGCTAGGCAGAAAAGAATGTGAGTGTGCTGGGGGGTATTTACTCTTACAACTTATACTGTCCGGTTCTCTTTGGAAGGGATTTTAAAGATATTTGTTCACCACTGTGAGTTTAGAAGGTGCCTAGAGGGAGAAAGACATGATTCAGAGCTATTTATGACCACTACACTTAGGTATTAACACTCTGGTCTCTGTCTCTCTGAGCTTTCTGCTAAGCACACTGTGTTCAGGTGTGTCCCCTAAGAGAGCCCGTGTATATCTATTGCTTTGGAACCTGCATTTTTATTTTTAGCCTAGTACTATGTCATGGGAGGCCTCGATATAGTCTCTGCTATCACCATCTTCAATGGCCACAGGCAAATCCACTTACTCGGACTTCTTTATCGGGTCTCCCTGGTGGCTATTTCAGTTGCTTCCACCTTCCTCTACCCTAATCAGTGCTGTAATACCCACACCTTCACGGACCCTCATGATTATTTTCTAGGGATGAGCTGGGAAGGGGCGGTGTTGGGTAAAAAGGACATGTTTGGTTTTTAAGGCTCATTTTTCCAATATGCCTCTAGTAGTACAGTTCAAGCAAAAATCGATCAATTTCAAGAAGACACACAGAATGAACTAGATTTCTAGGGGAACAGTTCATGAGTTGAACCATTTCATGTCAGACTCTTGGATGTAAAACAGTTACTGGCTTGTGGTGGGAACAGTACACTGTCTGCCTGGTTCTTTCTCTTTGTGACTGTGTAACCTCCAGGGCTTGCCCATCTGCCTGTCTGTGTCCACTCTAAAGGATCCACAGGCAATGCCTTTCCTCTTGCTCAGTGCTAGGTCCCTGTGCTCAGGCGTGGTGTGTTTTGCGGCTCCCCATTGACAAAGAGATCAAAGGCTTTCCGTGTACCCTCCAGGAGTGATGGCGTGGCTACCGGTGTATGTGGCTCAGAACAAACGGTAGTTGTTCTTCTCACATCTTCCAAAAGGCACGCAAACTGCGTGATGACAATGGTGACTGTGGTCTGGCCTATGCTGGCTAAAGAAGGTAATAAAATAAGTCCCTCCCTTCTTAATAACAAAGCTGACCATACATCCCCAGTAGACATTTCTTTAAGTGGTAATAAGTAATTGCAGGGTGGTGGGTAATGTCACGTTTTTTTTTCAGTTTCTAGTTAATTTGAAAAGCTCAAAATGAGGGGCTGGGGATTTAGCTCAGCGGCATAAGCGCCTGCCTCGAAAGCACGAAGTCGTGAGTTCGATCCCTGGTACCAGTAAAAAAACGAAAAAGCAAAAAAAAAAAAAAAAAAAAAAAAAGAAAAGCTCAAAAATGTTGTCCAAGAGGTTAAAATATCCCAGAAAGGGGCTTAAAACACTAAAGCATTAAAACATCAAAAGTGAAGGAACAATAACTTCAACAGAAGAAATATCACTAAATAAGCAGTAGCCTAGAAAATATAAGCATATATATATACACATATATATAAAATTTTTGTTAAACAATTCAACAAAAATAACAATACTTTTTGCTAATAATAATTTTGCTAACAATTATCTTTAGCCACTGAATAGCATACATATCTGCTTTATCAGCAGCTTAGAAAACAGAAATTCTGCTTTGCACAAACTTCTTGTGTGCTGCTATCTTATTGCTATTTCCTAATAAGCATGACTTTTCCAAGTCGGCTTGGGCTTTGCATCTATTTATGAGAATAGAACCTGCATCTTTGAAGCCCATATCTCCTTTTTTTCTGACTTATTCTGTCCCAAATAACAACAACAATAAATGTGGACAGAAGCTGTGTGTCCACACCCTGTACTAAGATGTCCGTGCTTGCTATCTGGGGTTGGGCGGATAAAGACTTCTCATTGGGCATCCTGCCACACAGCGTGGTCAAGCAAGGGTACCAATGCGTGGTGCGTGGTGCACAGACACACAGAGCACTCTGATCTTTTCAATTACTGAGTTTTCTCCTTGCAGAGAATGCCTGGTCCTGTCATCCGTGCATGTCATCTGAGGCTTTTGTCCTCTCTGGGGAATCGCTCTGGGCCTTCGTTTTCCTTTAACGATCGGTGGCCTTGATTTCAGGGGGATGGCCTGCTGAGGGCCTTACCTTATTCTTGCTGCTCTCGCAGGACTGCAGGCTGGCGAGGATCTGGCTCTCGATGGCTTGGACCCACGCATCCCGCTCTTCATAGGTGGTGGCTTCAAAGTGCCACGTCTGGCCAGTGAGGGACACAATGATAAACTCAAAGTTTTCTTCTTGTTCTGAAACAGAGTGGTGGGGATGAAGAGTTTACTTTCATGCAGCGGCAGCAGCGCCTCTGCCAGTCCTCTATCACAAAAGTGCCTCTGGGTTCAATGGCACCTGCAGGGGATGGCGGCACACACAGGACTGGACCATGATGGCGGCGGAGATCTGAATCTGCACTCCTCCTGACACTCAAGACTCGCTTCCTAAAGCCAGCGGGCTTAGCTGGGGTTCAATCAATGCTCAGGGGACAGGGAAGAATGAAAAGCAGCAGGCAACGTCAGTGTGTCTGTGTCGGGTGCAGACCAAACAACTTAGGGAAATAAGTTTGTAACTTACTGCTGACATCGTATCTGCGGGAGGAAAGGTGAGTTAGTACTGCTGATCTGGGGCGCAGCTTGCATTTCTACTCAGCCCCTCGTTGCTGATCCAGATGAACCCCAGCGAAGGAAGGCTGGAAGACTGAGGACCTGGCAGGGTAGGGAACTCCAGGTGGCTTGGCAGGGCCTCGGCTGAGACATGAAGGAACCCAGGAGCCCCTGGCTGGGCCGGGGAGGAAGGGACGGTGTCCACACCTTACACTGCTCACTGTTCACCTGACAGAGGCTCCAGACAGGTTCTCCACACCCGAGGCTGGCTTTGCTCACCCATGAGATGCAGACTGCATCTACCTGTGAGATGTGGTGGGTTACCGACTTGGCCCATGAGGACTCTTGGCCATTTACAGCCAGCCCAGCTCAATCCCTGCTGGAGGAGAATGGGAACAGAAAGCCAGTCAGCAGGTAACCTGGGATAGCTCTTAGGTACCAGGTCTCACTGGAGCTCAGTCTTAGGTACCAGGTCTCCCCAGCAGCATGATGATCACCAGGTGAGCAGCGATTCTTAGCAATGCCCACCATCTAGCTGCCTAAGGCTCCTCTAGCCACTGCAAGCCCAGTCCTCCACCCTTCCTGGGCCTTCTTCACTGCAAGCCCTGCAGCCTCGGGTTAATGTCAGGACCTGATACCACCTCCCACTTCCTGTCTCCAAAACACTAGCAGCCATTCCTTCCTCATTCCCTTGAGTCTCAGGAGATGATATGCAGCCCCCTTCTTATAGCCAAGACGCTGTTCTCCTGGTCCACGGCCTCCCCCAGCCTCTCAAAGGCCTGTGACTCGCCTAACCGTTAAACACTGCTGCAGCAGGGCAAAGGTCGGGGCTGCTGGGGTCAGGCCTGGGCTCTGGCAGGTGAGCCTTGTGACCTCCTCCAAGTGGCAGAGGGGTCTGGGCTCAACAAGAGAGTTGGAGAGTTCTTGGCTCCCTTAGGGTGACATATGTGTTTCTGTGTCCTCTCAATCTCTTAGGTTCCTGATTTCGGCAGACCTAGTGACTAGAGTTCACAAAAGATTTATTAGGAACTTCACTCCCATCCACTACCCTTAAATTTGGAAAACGAGTGTTTATGTGTGTGTTTGTGCAGAGGGAGAAAGCTCCACCTGTGCGCAGAGGTTGGGGTAGGGAGACCTGCAGCCCCTCCCTCATCCCCTTGCACACTGGGGGATGTGTGTGTGTTTATTAAAAAAACTTACTATGACTTTCAAACAGGCTCCTTCTGGGATGACCTGCAATTAAACCTTGCAATTACTAGCTAAGGCATCACATCTGTGGGTTTTAAAAGCGTGGCCTCTTGATACATCGGCTTTGATGTCCTAACCCTATGAATGACAACCTCTCCCACACAGATTCTAGTACGACAGTGCCCCCAATTCATGCATTTTATGCAAAATCCTCCTGGTGAATTGACAGGTGGGGGTGAGCAAAGAACCACATAATTCACTGGCCACAAGGAAAACTCAGTAATTCATGGGTGGATTGTGGTGACTGCTCATTAGGAGACCTACTCTACAGCCTGGTATCTTCTTAAATCTGTGAAATTCAAATGGTCCCATAAAAGCTCCTTGTGATCAGGATTTATTGGGTTGTCAGGTGAAAAAATTACAACCATTAGCTTCCCAGTTAAGATGTCTGCATGCTGCTCTGCCACCGAGCTTTGAAGTTCTGAGTTTCTAGCCAGAAGCAAAAGCGCCATTCCCTGGACTTGCTTGATTTGGGTGTGGCACTCGGGCCTTGGCTCCCGGCTGCCCTTCTCACTGCATTCTGAATGCCAGGCTGGATGCCAGGCTGGATGCAGGGGCCAGAAACAGAATGGGCTCTCAGTGCATGGTACTCACACACACACATACACGCACACATATGTGCACACACAGAGGACAAAACACATGCAATAACAACAGCGGAGAGCTGGTGAGATGCCATGGGAACAGCTATCCTGTTTGCCTCATGCTAAAGCAGTGGCTGCTTCCACTGTTAATATGCTCAATACTCGAAGACAAAACCTTTAGATGAAACTGCTATAGTTTGGCTTTGCCCCTTTTCTTAAGTAAACGAAATGCACCTATGCATGCAAACTGACTCAGGACACAGAGCAAAGTGTTCACAGGAACCTCAGTCTATTTCTGTGAGTTTCTCAACACGCTCCCTGCAGTACCTGTGCTGTCCTACTGTCCCACTCACCTTATAAATCTATCCCACACTGCTCCTCTCCTCCCAACCCTGGACACGACATGAGTGTCCTTTCTAGTCTTGTTCACGTCACTAAACATTTCTATCTCTCCTTGCAGGTTCTGGTCCCTTTCCTCCCCTATACTTCCTGCTTCCTTTACTTAGTCCCCTTATGTCCTTTGGGACCTGGGTTTGGCAATGACTTCCTTACTGTTTTGCAAACTGGATGATGTCCCTTATGGATGGACCTCTGTCTGGAACATCTACCCTGCAAGCTGTCAGCTGCCCCAGAGACACAAAGCTGTGCTCTCTTCCCATCTCTGTTCCCAGTCATCTGTCCTAGTGAGACATGGCTTCCTCAGATCACAGATGAATGACCAGCCAGGGGTCACCCTGTGCTCGGTCTTCTTTGTCACTGGCCCTGACACTGCCAATGGGAACTGTCACTTTGCAGCCTCTGCCTCCCCGGTCTTTTGCTCACTTGGATATGCAGGGTGTGTGTGTCAGGATCAATGGAGGGGTGGGGGCTGAGCCATGGAGTCTCTAGGGCAAGGGTCCTAGTGACTGTCACCGAGGGGGCTGGCAGTGCCTGCCACCGGACTTCTGTGTCCTACTTGTTCAGCCTTCTTCTTGATGTCTTAGATAGAGACCCCTGGAGGGAACGTGGGGTGGGTGGCAATCTCAAAGTGAGTTAATCCACAGCATGAAGCTGCCAGTGGCCCCACCCTTGCTCCTGGGCAGCAGGCAGCCAGGGACACCCTGTCAGACAAGTTCTGTCTGCATCTGCTTGGGGCCCAGGAGTCACCCAGGATGGAGGACACAGTGGGGATGTCACAGATGGACCGCTGTGGCCAGTGAAAGGTTGAACAGCCCTAATCTGAACAACAAGATCTGAAAAGCTCTGAAATCTGAAATGCCTTGACCACCATGCATTTCAGACACTCAACCATGGAAGTCTATGCAAATATTCTGAAATTTTCCAAAATACTCCACAATCTGAAATGCTTCTGGTCTCCAGCATGGCAGATAAAGATTCTCAACTGGACTACGAGACGCCAAAAAGGTGTCCGAGGATGGGGGTGGGCAATGGATGCTGGACCCCTTAGACCCCAACTGAAGGTCATCAGCGCACTAGGAAAGGTCTGCAAAGAAAGGCCCAGATGACCCTGCGGCTCACAACTAAACTTCACCTCCCAGATAAGATTGCATGATGGGAGCCCCCAGACAAACTCATCTGAGGCCTCTTTCATTTTGGAGGGAAATCCTGGGATGACCAGAGAGCTAAAAAGACCAAAATCAGAGAAATAAGGAAGATACAAATGAGGACAGTAGCTACACACAATCCACAGTCAGCAGCTGCAATACCCCTGGGAGAAAGTGCCTCAACAGTCAGTTGAACAGTCACTGACCACTGTGTGGGGCAGGTGTGGGATGTATATGAAGCAGGAACGAAGGCCCAGTGGTCACAGGACAGGTCTGAACACCATGAGTACCATACTGATGAACAGTTCTCTGGAGACTTAACTAAATGGTTCAGCCTAGCTGTTATGGTATGTGTCTAGATTCCCCTCCTCCCCAGTCTTATGGGGTCACGGAGTTTTTTTGGAGGTAGCTGAATCTAAAGTATGTGATTGATCCGTAGTACAATGCTGGGATTAAGGGAGCTTGGATTAGGGGTGGGTGCCTGCTAGATCAGTCCACTGATTGCACGGGTACCGCCCTCATCCTGGTAGACTGGATACATTGCAAGGCACAGAAAGAGGCTTGTCCCTCCTTTCTCTTGTTGCTTTTGTCATCTTCTACCACCATGAACAGTTGCTGCTCTGACACGCCACCCTGCCTTGGAGCCAACCGATTATGGACTGAAATCTCCACAAACTGTGAGCTAAATAAACCTTTCCTCCCTTAACTCTGGGTGCTGGGTATTTTGTCTCAACAAGGAAATACCAAAGACACCAGCCCTGCAGCAACAGAAATGGGTGCCCTCTATGCTGTCCTTGTGGGACCCAGGGACACCTGCCGGAGAGCTGGGATACCCCGATCCTTGAGTAAGGCTTAAAATCTGAACACAGAACCACACTGCAGACAGCTCTGCACCAGGGCTCACAGGGAGACCTCGTGAACCCCAAGTTTTATATTTTCTAGAACACTGTCTTTGTGGTTTTTTTTTTTTTTTTGAGGGTAAAATGTAAATATCCACAGTTTAGTGTTTTCTAACTGAAAGACTCCGGCTATATATATGACTTTTCTCGCCTTCCAAGTCCTAGGAAACAAGAAACACGAAGCAACTGCATGTTCAGTCATGTTGCATACCATTTCCATACAGGGATAACTTGTATCCTTGTGAGGGTCTATGTCATGGAATAGTGAAAGCAAGGAACAGGGCTGCTGGGCTTGGCACAAATAGTACCAGGGCTCTGCAGGGTTCACCTCTCTGGTTATGCTGCAATCTTAAAGGGCTACATAGTACTTTTTT